GCGGTCAGTTACTTTAGTGCCTGTTGTCCTGTGTGGAACTAAGAATAGTGAGTTAGAATCGTAACTGCTAAGGATACAGACGTGTCCCCATAAAGACTACATATCCATAGATCTTTACATTTATTGTACAACACATATAATATAGAGACATTTTACATTAGCTGGTACGTGAATAACCACTAAATAAAGTTTAATAGACTATATGCCTATTATTTACAACATATAGTAATGTAACTGCGCCAATGCTATGTTTTCCCCCACCTAAATAAACCACTTTATTGCACTTCCGTCGCGTCCACGTCATAATACATTCCCTCCTTCTTTTCTTTGCTCGCAGAGTGTGACACTTACTATACGAAACTCAGTTGTACCCTTGACTATATAGTGTATATACTCAAGGGTTATACCCCTATCATATCCAGCGTTTTCAAGCACTGTTACCAGCGGATTATCCACGAGTTAACTTTCGTGAGTGATTATTGCAACAAAATGCTGAAAATCCCCAATTTACTGCCGATGTACTAGTTACAGATGAAGCTTTATTTACTCGAAATGTAATACAGGGCATACACAATACACACGTTTGGGAACTCGAAAATCCGCACACAATTGAACTGGATCACTTCCAATACCGTTTTTCAATGAATATTTAGACAGGAATTGTTGATGAGCGTTCATTTTGACCAATCTTATGGATGGGTTACAATATCTCGAATTTATTCGCAATGACCTGCCCGCCCTTCTTGAAAATGTACCCCTACCCGTCCGACAACGCATGTGGTTTTTACATGATGGGGCACCTCCTCACTTTCGGCTAGATGTTCGATATTATCTCCATAAAGTGCACGGATTACGGACGGGGTGAACAGGTAGCATGGTCTCCGCGATCTCCCGATTTAAACCCTCTTGACTTCTTTTTGTGGGGTCATCTAAAAAATGAGGTGTTGCTGCGTTTACAAGAACAGCAACCAGGAGGTTTAGTACGGCAAAATTGGATAAGGCGTGCTCAAATGTGTGTACACGTCGCGCGACGAGGGACAAAATTTCGAGCAGCTTTTAATAAGGTATGTGCTACTTTTTTATACCTAAATTTCATGTTTGTAATAGCGTTGAACGAGGAAATAGTATTTCTCACTCAACGGTAATCAATCAAGTATAGCAATTTTTCTTCAAAATTAGTGTAACAAAATTTTATTCATTTTAAAAACACGTTACTTTGCTCAGATCTATCTATCTTGAAGTTTATTTTAAAGTAAAAATGCTGCAAATCAGTTTTGCGCGGGTCTCGGTTTAATCACAGAACTTTGGAGGTTTTTTCTTGCAATATGTGACATTACCTCTTTGCATTCCAGCGGCGTGCAATTAAATACCTTCAAATAGTTTTCAGTGTATGCGTATATTAATTTTTCTTTGCATTACCATATTTGTACATGTACGTTGAAAATTCCCAATTTTTTTCGAATAAGTTTTGAATCACCCTGTATAGCGCTGGTCGAACTTAAATCAAATAATGCAATATCGGATAAGAAGAATGCAATGTTGTTTGGTGTTCATTGACCTCTCTTACTCTCTTATAGGTATCAGATTTAATTTTTTACAGATAATATAAAGGCATTAGTTACATGTTCTGCACTATTTTATCACTATATTTTATTTTTGTTCATCTGTACTACAGAACACCCTCTAGAATAGAAACTGATTACTCAGCATTTTTACACACAGTTGATAGCAGCGCCTTAGGTGAATGCGATCCAAAGTTTCGCATTTAGCGTAGACAATTACTCCTGATCTGTTACTGAAGCTATTCAATAAAAGAAGGCGCTACTTTGAGCGGTAAATTCGATTTTTACAAATTTGATTAATATTTATGTTTTAGGACGAAAAGTGAAGCTTTAAAGTACTAGTAAATTTTTACGGCAAAAGCGTAGTCGAGGCCGTAAAAATTTACGAGTACTCTAAAGCTACTTTTCGTCCATGGTACATACAATTTGTATGACTTTATTTAAAAAATCAAATAGTATTTATTTATACTATGGTAATACGTGGGTTACCATAGAAATTTCTTTGAAGTACTAGAACTTTTACTTTATCGTCCTAGAACTTTAAAGTTCCATTTTTTGTCCTAAAAATAATTTAAAAAATGGTTCACTATTGAACAGTATGAAATAAAATCTATTTATAAATTTGACTATTAAAAAAATAACTAAAATTTTGCATAAAAATAAAATAACCCATCTCTTATTAACAAATCATTTCAGGTAAACGTGTAAAGTGTATCAGTGTCAACGGTGGATTCTTCGAACAATTACTTTAAATCATAATTACGTATTTTATTTGTTTTATTGTTAATTGTTGTAATAACACGAAGAAACACTTGGTTTGTTTCGCTTTTTAATTTCTCATATTATCAAAACATAGTGTTCGTTAAATCGATTTTTCTCGAAAACGGATCGAGATACCAAAATGACACAAGAGTACATAATTAATGGAAAAATGATAGCTCATTCAAGTTTTGAATCAAGTTTCACGTTAAATATACAGGGTAAAAAGTTATTAACTAAATTTTCGATAAAATTGGTCGTAAGTGGCGCCCTCTATGAGCAATGCTGAAATTACAACACGCATCTTATTCGTCGCCTAAAAAAATATAGTTTCACAAATTTTCAAGTTCCTAACCTACATATTTTCAGAATAATCGCAAAAAAAACGATTTAAAATTTTAACTTTCAACACCCTGTATTTCCGAAACTATGAACTTTCGGATAAGGCATGTTTGCGCCAATGGTCACCATTTCACGTGTAGTATCTTCAGCTTTCGATTTCCCATTGTTAATGAATCACCCTGTATATATTTGATTTTTGACTAGAATTTTGAATTTACTTCTTTTTGACGTACTTGGCCTGTCAAAACAGTCACTAAACTAGAAACTCCACGCCATATTATTGTAGCTTTCCAGAAAGGTAAGAAAAAATAAGTAACTTTTATTATGATTAATTTAATGATGTCAATCTCACAAATATTATGGCGTTTTTAAATTCTGAGGGATATCTCTACACCGATCTTATAAACTTTAAAGAAAATATATATGCGATTCTATATAAAATACTACGAAACATGAAACAGGAAAGGAAAAACCACTTATAGCACACACCTCAGAATAGAACTGGAAATGAGTGAAAACGTACCTAATGAAACTACTGTGTACTGCTTAATTTTTCAAGATAGGTAGGTTATTCCGCTACAATCCCATGACAAACATTTATTAGACAGGTTCATTCATAAACCGGTTATTGCGGTTATATTGCTTAATAGTATTTAATGATTTTGACGCGAGGTACTACGTTAGAATAAAATGATCCCTAGGTATAGAAAAATCTTTCAAGAGTACATAGAAAAACTTAAAGAATTAAGAAGAGACACTGATTGATTAAAAGCGTCTGTCTTGAAACACCTGGCGAATTTAAAAATATTCCACTAGTGTTAGACATTTAAGGAAATCCAAAACAATAGTAAATAGTGAAGGAACTGAGTGCTAAGAAAAGATATACCGCTACTTGTTTATTTAAAGTACCATTTTCCTTTCATATGTTATCCCCGCAGTTACAGAAGCAACCATTATGGTTAATAGAAAATCATGACGGTCTTGACTGGGATGCTGGATTAGTATCATTACACAATCATGTTTGCTTTCATCCTGCAAAAGTACCCAGTCCAACGGACAGTATTTACATAAAAGAGAGGGAAAAAGCAGAAATAAGAAAAGTTCTAGTAATAATAATAATAATAATAATAATAATAATAATAATAATAATAATACTTACTATTATAATACTTACAATGTATATGTAAAATATTATTTACAAGTAAATAAATAATTTCCACATAAGGCGAACCTTGAGCGTGGTCTAACAACTAAGATTTTACAATTAATACAAAATACACATACAGGTATATACACATCACAAATATTAATTTAACATTTATGTCAAATACCCAAATACGTAATTAAGTAAACAACAAAACATGTTTTCTTTCGTTTTCCGGAAAAAGAAAGATAATAATGAGGAAAAGCAAGGGGACTATATTTTTAAGTATGATTTTAAAATTTATTGCATGCTATTTAATAAATTTGAGATATCTTGCTTAGTCTTTTCGTTCAAAAATATTTTTAGACGCTTTTTAAAAGATGTATATGATTTACAAGATTTAATATCTTCTGGCAATAAATTATACATTTTAGGTCCGAGGTAATAGTAGGATTTTGTAAATTTTGTAGTTCTAGGTTTAGGAACTTGGAATGAAGTTTCACGATGTCTGGTACTGNTGGCGCGAATGATACATACAGCATGTTATTTGACCTTGATTTTAAATATATTCCGTTAAATGTTAGAGATAAATATTGCTTGAGAATGTCACCTTGAGAATTTGGCTTTGATATTGTGGTGATATTGGAATGAATACAACGCATGCTTGAACCGCTGTATATATAAGGAATGGAGTATGTATGAAATTCATTTGTGAATAACGATCTCAGAGTGATATATACTAAAAAAAAAGGAAATATGCTTTTGTGCGGTACCTGTGGTAAAACCTTTACGCGTAGTGACAACTTGCGTCGCCATGAAAGGGAATCTTGTACTCCCAGTGAACCTATGGCAAAACGGTTGAAATTACAACATGATGAGCAATCAGCGAACAATCAAACAATTAAATGTTGTGATAAGCAAATACCCAGGAATCAAATACATGCGCATCGAAGATCATTGGAACATAAAACATTGTGTTGTACTCCAAAATCTGATGGCGTTCAAATTATTAATACGGCATTTAAGTGCAGAATAATAAGTTACAGGGTGTATAGTGAATCAAAACATACAGACTTTAATGAGTTTTTTAGTCAAGTGAAACCTAAAATAATAAGTTTGTTGGAGGATGTCATTAATGTTCATAAATCCATAAAAGTGAACATGGAAACGTTCGCAAAATACATTCTACAAACCCGTGACACTTGCGACGTAAAATCCTTTAATAGTTCCAATAGGATTCTAGACGAGTCTGTGGATTTAGATGACATTTTACAAAAATTTATAGATATGATGACTGTCGTAACTGATGTGCCTAAAATATAAATAGTTTTTGTTGTTGTTTACGTTGTTAGGGTAGATGTTTTTTTAAAAAAGACGTCTCCAAAATATTTGCAACCTTTTATGTATTATTGAAGTGGCTAATGTTAAAATATATGTCCAGTTTTTAATGAGCCGAGAGTGTCCTTTATTTTGAACCGTCTAGGCTGGAAATACGGGTAGTATTTCAACGGCGAGGCAACATTTGGCGACCGTGACAGGACCTGACAGTTCGGTGAGTGAAAAACTCAGGATATTTTTCCATTTTCATTGTGTGCCCTTTGAGGTCATAAATTCTGTTATTGTCTATTCGTAATGGTACAAGAGCCGACAGTCGCTATGGAAGCCAAGAAGAAACATAGGAAAGTGCTTCGGGCGAGTTTCACCAAAGTTGCCAACGAATTAGACACTCTATTACAGGTTGACAAACCTGTGCACTGTGATGTAGAAATCTCTTGGGAATGTCTGAAAGGGAAATTCGATGAATTACATGCGTGTGAGAATCAAGTTTATGAGGCCCTGCTGGAAAGTGCTACGGAGGAGCAGCTTATGTCAGAAATTGACAGCAGTGACGCCTACCAGAGAAGGTTCACCGATCCACGTCTGAGATGTAATAAGGTGCTTCAGCCGGGACACGCAACTGCGGAGGTAGATGATATGATCTCTTTGGTATCAGGAAGTTCGGGGCATTCTACGCATCTAGGGGAAAGTGGAAAAGGTAAGCGCAAATTTAAACTCCCGCGAATCGAATTTAAACATTATGACGGTAACGTAAAAGACTGGTTAGGGTTTTGGTCACAGTTCAGAAAGGTCCGTGAGGATCCCGATATAGACAGTAGTGACAAAATCGAATATTTAATACAAGCCACAATACCGGGCAGTAGGGCGCGGCAACTTGTAGAGAGTTTTCCTGTGGTAGGAGAAAACTATGACAAAATTGTGGAATGTATGCAGGCTAGGTTTGATAGGGACGATCTACAAATTGAAGTACATGTCAGGGAGTTATTAAAACTAATTTTGGGTAATACAAGGTCTTCCCAGAAATCAGATATCTCCAAGCTTTACGATGAGATCGAGACACAACTTAGAGCGCTTGAAACGGTAGGAATAACTTCGGATAAATATGCAGCAATGCTCTTTCCACTGATTGAGTCATGTTTGACGCAGGACTTGTTAAGAATTTGGCAGCGTTCATCTTATAACTCGTCTCAAAACGGTGCCGATTCTACTTTGTCTTTAACCGCGGATGCTGCACTTGAAATTAAACTTAAAAATCTTATGAGTTTTTACGAGCTGAAGTAGAAAAGGAACAAAAGATCTGCTTGGCAAGTGAAGGTTTCGGTTTGTTAGACAATTCTGTTAGGTCAGGCAGTAGTGTTGATCATAAAAAGAAGTCTGCAAAAGATCTCTCAACTGCAACAGCAGCTGGGCTGCTAAATGCTTGTGTTGCCAAGTGTATCTTTTGTGCTGGATGTCACAGTAGCGATATGTGTTTCAAAGCTCAAAAAATGGGTTACGCCGCGAAGAAAAACATTGTAGCAGAAAAGAAAGCTTGCTTCAAGTGCCTAAAAGTTGGACATCAGTTAAGAAAATGCCGCAGTCGATTGAGGTGTGTTGTCTGCGGACAATCACACGCACCATTGATGTGTCAAAGCTTACCTAGCATCAAGCAAGAATCCGATGGTGCAAAGCTAAGGATGCACGTGGATATCAAGTTATGAAAATCAAACAAGTAAACAAGTTTTTTTACAGACACTGCGAATTACTTTAAAAGGAGCTACTGGTACAAGAAAGGTTAGAGCCTTGATAGATAGTGGATCGCAAAGATCATACATATTGAAAACTACAGCACTAGCGCTTGGTTTGAAGCCTAAGTGAATTGAAAAGATGCATTGTCTATTTGGCGGTCAGATGTCTACCCATATGCATTATTGCTATGATGTTGCTATGGTTAATGGGAAGTACACGAAGAATTTTGAAGCTTTAGATCAACCATACATATGCAACGAAGTCGCTCCGATTTTCAATGGTCCCTGGATGGAAGAATTTAAACGTTTGGGGGTTAGTATCAGCGATTCAGAAAACTCTGGCACTATCGAACTTCTGTTAGGAACAGACATTATTGGGTCATTGTACACCGGGAGACTCCATAAAATACAATGTGAACTGACTGCAATGGAAACCAATCTTGGGTGGAGTAATGGGCCGAGTTTCAGCGTCCAATATTCGATCCAATGAGACAATGACTGTTCTGTCTCTATTTGCAAATCCATCAATCGCAGATTTGTGGCAATTTGATGTACTGGGAATACATGAACCCACTGAAAAGAAAACTAAACAAGAAATGGCTAATGCAGCGAAGGACTTGTTTCTTCAAACGGTTACCATAAACATGGAGGGGAGATATGAGGTTCGGTTACCATGGATTGAAGGACATCCCCCGTTACCAACGAGTCACAGTGTTGCCAGAAAGCGGGTAAGAGCTATTATGCACAAATTAGAGAGGGATGGCTTAACCGAACGCTACGATCAAGTTTTCTGCGAGTGGGAATCCCAAGGTATAATCGAGCGAGTTGAAGGAGAAAATTATGGTCACTTTTTGCCGCATCGACCAATATTGAAAGAGGGCTCTACCACCGCGATAAGACCCGTATTCGATGCTTCAGCACAAGAAAAAAACAGTCCTTCTCTAAATCAGTGCCTGGAGAAAGGGCCTAATTTGATTGAATTGATACCTTCTTTATTACTCAGATTTCGTGAATTTAAAATCGGTGTCATTTCAGACATAAAAAAGGCATTCTTGCAAATTAGTGTGCATGAGAAGGATCGAGACTTTTTAAGGTTTCTTTGGATTGATAAGGAGGATCAAGAGTTTGTTTATAGGCACAGACGTGTTGTGTTTGGTGTCAACTGTAGCCCGTTCTTACTTGGAATGACAATCGAACACCATTTGAAAAAATGCATGGATAATCGTGGAAGCATGGACGCTGAATATTCTCGGGAAACCATTTGAAGATTATCCAATAGTTTTTATGTTGACAACTGTGTTACGAGTTTACCAGATAAGCATAAATTGAATAACTTTATAAAAGGATTTATATCTGCAGTGGCGGAAGGTCAGTTCGATTTGAGAGGCTGGGAATTTTCTGTAAATTCGGACTGTGAAGATTTCAGTGTTCCTGTTCTCGGAATGAAATGGTTCACTAAACGAGATGTGTTGACAATCAATGACAATCTTTTTAAATCTGCTTCAGATGATTCAGCTGTCACAAAAAGATTGATTTTATCCATGTCACAGAAGGTATTTAATCCTATAGGAGTCACTGCCCCAACTACATTGGTACCAAAATTATTGCTGCAGAAGTTGTGGGAAAAGCAAATACCTTGGGATACGCCGGTTGACGATGAAGTCGCAATTGCTTTTCGAAATTGGCTCACAGGATTACCACATCTTCTCGAAGTAGAAATTCCTCGTTGGATTTCTACCGATTCTAAAGATGTACAAAACTTGAGCATCCACGTCTTCTGCGATGCCAGCCAAAAAGCATATGCTACAGTGGTATATTGCAGAGTCGAAAAGGATAAAAATGTATCCATACATTTATTGGCTGCAAAATCTAGGGTTGCGCCATTGAGAAAATTAACAATTCCGCGTTTGGAGCTTATGGGAGCAACAATAGCTGCTAGACTTTATAAGCAAGTTGCGGATAACCTTACAAGCAACTTTGATTGTTTTTTCTGGTGCGATTCATCAACTGTTATAACATGGATTCAGAGCCAGGAGGAATGGGGAACATTTGTGTGGAACAGGGTTAATGAAATCAGACGATTGACTCCAGCAGAACAGTGGTGTCATGTACCCGGAGCATATAACCCTGCAGATCTTCCATCACGAGGTTGTTCTCCCAACCAACTTTTGGAATCGAAATGGTGGGAGGGTCCTAGTTGGTTGTATCAAGATAGAGCAGATTGGCCATCCGAAAGACCGATTGTTAATGAGGAAGAGATCGCCGGAGAACGAAGAAAGAAGCTAGTTACAGTACTTGTAAATACAGAACATTCCGATTTTTGGCATCTATCTTATTTCAGTAGTTTTACCAAAACCGTCAGGTTGATAGGTTGGGTATTCAGATATTTAAACAACGTTAGGTATCCCGCCAAAATACAAAGAGGAGACTTGTCAGTTAACGAGTTAGATGCTGCTGAAAATTTTATTTTTAAACTAGTCCAAACAGAAAGCTTTACCAATATCAATGATAAGAGAATTAGCGGTCTTTGTCCTATTTATGATCAAACAGGAATAATACGCCTGAAATCAAGAGTATTCAATCGAGAAGATACAGATAATTACAGATTTCCCATCATTTTGTCAGCAAGGCACCTGTGGTTAACAATTTGATACTGGAATCGCACAAAAGATCATGCCATGTCGGAACACAAGGTTTGCTTTCCCTGTTGCGTGAAAGATTTTGGTTATTAGGAGGCAGACGCATTATTAGATCACTCTTGAAGAAGTGTGTTATTTGCAGGAGATTTACATCGAAACCGTTTACGGTAGATCCGCCCCCACTGCCCGTCGACAGAGTGCGAGATGCTGTGGCGTTTGAAATAGTCGGTGTGGATTTTGCCGGTCCTTTATACCTAGCATCAGGAGAGAAGGCTTGGATTTGTTTATTCACTTGTGCCATATATCGGGCCGTTCACTTGGAGTTAACATTGTCCTTGTCTACCGCCACTTTCCTACAGGTTCTTCGCCGGTTTGTCGCAGGATGTGGTAGGCCAAAAGTAATATACAGTGACAATGGGACAAACTTTAAAGGTGCAGAAAATGCGTTCTCAAACTTAAACTGGGAAGAAATTACTCGCGAAACATCGACGCAACACATAGTTTGGGGTTTTAATCTCCCCGGTGCGCCGTGATGTGATAAAACAATTACTTCGTCGGGTTCTTGGACGTGCAAATCTTCGTTATGAAGCACTTTTGACCCTGATGTGTAAATGTGAAGCAGTCGTGAACGCTAGACCTCTAACCTACATTTCAGATGACCCAAACGATCTTACAGCGCTCACTCCGGCTATGTTTTTGCGCGACCAAGACGAGGTCGGCACGCCTTATATTGACGAGATAGATCGGAACTCTCTAATGCATAGTGCGCGAAATCAACAAAGATTGCGAGACCATCTGCGTCGACGTTTTAGACTAGAATACCTTGGACAATTAAAAGTTTTTGTTAAAAAGACTGCTAATTTGCCGATTAAATTAGGAGAAGTTGTTTTAGTCGAAAACGATCATCTTAAACGCGTAGAATGGCCAATGGGACGTGTTATAGAATTAATACCGGGTCCAAACGGGTATACTCGGTTAGTGCGGATTAAGACTGTACGAGGCGAACTACTTCGCGCGGTGCAGCGTTTGTTTTCCCTAGAATGTACTAGTAGCGGATAATGCATGCATCGTTGAGGGGGACTCTGGAATTTCTGAACCTATAAACCCACAACAGCAGGTACTGCCTGGTCGCCGATAACAAGCTCATCAAGGAGATGAGGAAAGTGATGACAGTGCGGGAGTGTATACAGCAGAGTACCCGTTCAAAATGTGCGTTTCACGCGGAGTGGTAGAGAGATAAAAATAATCACTCGTTATGTAGATTAGTATTCTTAGTAGTTATAGTAGTTGTATTATAGTTAAGCCATCTTGTTACTCCCTTTTGTAAGAAACGTTTCATAATGTGAACCGTTGCTCAGGTGGGAGAATGTCGTAACTGATGTGCCTAAAATATAAATAGTTTTTGTTGTTGTTTACGTTGTTAGGGTAGATTTATTTTTTAAAAAGGCGTTTTCCAAATTTTTGCAACCTTTTATGTATTATTGAAGTGGGTAATGTTAAAATATATGTCCAGTTTTTAATGAGCCGAGAGTGTCCTTTATTTTGAACCGTCTAGGCCGGAAATACGGGTAGTATTTCAACGGCGAGGCAACCTTCCATGATACAAAACGGGAAAAGGCTTTAAAAAAAACACGCGGAAAACAAATTACTAACATGGGTTTATTCAACCCAACTGCACCAGTTGCTCGGCGTAACTGAACGCCCTACCGCACTGGTTGAAATCGAACGTATCCTACAGCAATATTGACAGTAATATAACCAAAGGTACGGTTATGTTATTGTTATGAAATTTTCAATAACAAAGTATAAATAAGTATAAATTTATAAATACCTATCCAAGCAAGTAAATCATAGACCTAGTAAACTATGGACTGGCCCTAGAAAGAGAGGTCAATCGCGCTGATGTGTGCAAGGCAGATGAAGCTAGTTGAGGCAAATACCGGTAAAATAAATGATGGTAGACGGGTATACCGGTACAAAATGCTGTAAACAAACTTTGAAGTAAATGTCATGTATTGACATTATTGATTGATTTCTTGAATTTTTGTGTGAGTTAGTGTATGTGAAAGATTCGTAAAAACTAAATATGGTGAAATCGTGTTCTGAGATAAATTGCGTAAAGAGACGTTTAAGTGGAGAAAAAATTAAATTTCATAGGTAGGAAAAAAGTTATGACGGTACCAACATGTTTATACTTTTTGCAACTTTTTGAAAAGACTGACCATGTAGAGCTGTCTCTGATGACAACATATTAGATTAAATTATTTCCGTCATCCTCAAAATAAAATGTCATTTAACATCAAACCGAATATAAAGAAAAAGTTTTAACTGAAATGTGCTTATAATGTGCTCCAGCAAAAATTCTCTTCAAATAATATGTTGAACGAAGAAAGCATCGGCATAGTTTCAATTTATGCAGTTCTGCAAAGCAAGAAAATATGAAATATTTGGAACAACTACGTCACAAGAGCTTGCAGTAATGTTGACCGATCGAGTTTACGATATGAAGAAAATAAATGGAGAAATACATAAAGAAGGCATTATAAAAACTATTTGGAATATTATAGCTAAAACAATACAAATATTGTACTGTAATTAGGATAGCAATATAATAAACCCTTTTACATACCTACATTATTGGAAAAAATTAAAATTTTTTTGTCTTTTAGTCTCTATAATTATTTTTATAAAGTCTTTGAATACGGCCCAACAGAAAAAAAAGGTTAAGGAATCGAGTATAGCTAGCTGATTGGTCGAATTAAATATAGCGCGTTGCAGTCGGAATTCTGTGAACGAAGCTTAAGCCCTTACTAGCTCCATCTCTCTCGCACACGTCTGAGCGATTGCCGTTTATATGGGTAAAATGACAGTTGGGCGAGTCCAGTAGTTTATAAGGTCTATGAAGTAAATAGACCCACCCATCAGCGCTAACGGTTGGTTTACAGCACCCAGAATATAAGTCTTAAAGCAGGTAAGTGAAAGGACTAGAATACTAAACGTTTCTCTTATACGTACACAAATTACATGTGCGCAAATTATACTAATATCAAAATACTGTATTTTAGAAAGGCAAGCAGGCAGAGTCATGCATACGTGTGAAGTACAAGACGGGCAAACAACAGCAATAAATGTTAGAGCGAAATAAGCAGTAAGACAGTAAGCAGGCAAAACTTAAATATGGCTTATCTGTTTGTGGAGGCTTCTGGTTCCACTAGGATGGTACGGCAAGGTCCCACTGGTGCTGGTTTACTTTGATAGAGCTTCGGTCCCCATATACAGTATGTCTTTCTGTAACGTACATGCCATGCGGTATTGCAGAGTGAACATGCCAGGGAGAAGTGGTAGAATCGAAGGAGTTCAAGCAGCAAGCCAGAGACAAGCAGAGGGGATATATAACTATATAAGGGTTTCCGGTGGCTTGCAAGCCAATACCTTAGTGTACGACAGATGATCGGAACACTTGGATCGGAATATATCCCGATCTATTTGTTTGGCCTTGGTTGGTGTGTGGCCAATGAGTAGAAATATGGCAAAATTCAAGCAGGGCTTATATCCAGTAAAACTACTGAGATTTTGTCAGCAATTCCTCAAGACAAAAAAAAACGAGCCCAAACCTTCCAGAAATCCGCTAAGCGGTAGTGGACTTGCAATCAAGCACATGTACAGGAAGGAAAATACCAGAAATTTTGCCGGCGTGGGCGGAGATTGGCCTAAATAAAAAAGGAAGACTTAGGGAAGTTTAGTCAGGGCCCGAGAACTTATACTTGAAAATATGGGGAAACTGGGAACTACGTGACTTAAGATGGATATACAAGTTGGAGAAAGAGTCTATAGATGTCGCCATAAAGATTTTGTAGAATACCAATTTTGACAATTGCAATTATGAATCATTTCATGATTTACATGTCATTCCTGTTGTTCATGTTTATTGTTTATTGTTGGTTAGATGTGGCGAGTGTTGGTGTGTGTTTTATTTGTTTTTAGTGTGTTTTATTAGACATTTCATTCACATTTATTTATATAACATAATAATGTCTGATCATCATATAATCACATTTTTTATTAATAATAAAATGTTTTGTTTTTTGTTTTTTTTAAATAAAAAATGTCTGAAAGTTTGTAGTGATCAGAGGTAGGTAGTTTTTTATGGATATCAACACAACGAAAAATTTAAAGTTGCATAATAAATCTCTATTACAAGAATTAATCAAAGATTGGTTTAGTAAAATTATTTACTTGTAATATTTTTTTATTCACCGTGAAAGCTAATACAATATAGAAAGCACTGATAGCTGCTCTATAATCATTTTCACTCTTTTTTTTCAAAATATGTACTGAAATTTGAAATTTGAAATTTTTTCAACAAACATTTCAAAAAGTTACAGTATCAAAATTATTTCTTATTTTAAGTAGGAAGACTATTAGAGCTTTTAAAAGTGTCTTTAATGCATGAGTGATTTTAATGCTTTTTATCAAATGTACTTATTTTCTCATGGTGACATAAATTATCTACGTGAAAATTATTTTACAAAACCAATTTTTGAGTGATCTGTGTAGGGTGAGATTTGTTATGTAATTTTAAATTTAGCGGCGGCAGAATACCTAAAACAAATATTGGGTAGGTATATAGTTGTAGAGCGTACAACTAGATGGCGCTTGCATCTTACCGGCTACAGGTAATTTAACTCACTGTATTACCGATAATTCCTAGAAAAGGAAAGCAATAGAAGTTGGAGAAACTGTCAACAGTTAGCGCTGTTGCTGACCACGAAATCTGTTCCAAGTTTCCTATCTTCAGTTCAGTATCATTTATCTAGGAGTTTAGTTCTAACTTGACTGACATTTGTTTGACAGAAGAATGATGTTAATGAAAAATAAGCATTTTAAGGTAAGAAATTATTAATTTTAACCAGTGAACAAGTGCTAATTAGTGGGATTTTTCAGATATAACCATGAATTAACCTATAATATTTGTCTAGAATGCATAACCTGAAAACGAAGTAATAATAAAT